CCTTCTTCCTTTTCTTCTCATGAATATGTTGATTTTCTATACTTTAATATGAAATTTATACTTTTCTTATGAAAATTATGAATAATTATTAAAGAAATATGGTTATGGTACCTAGGGAACTACCCTATAATCTATGTTTTTAACATAAAAAAATCCATTGCCTAGGCAACAAGGCGCCCCCCAGTCACCTAGCCTCGCCTTATATATATATCCACATGGTCATAGCCTTTCTCCAAAGTAATGAAGATTTCATTTCTAACAGCTCAGCGGCTAGGAAAGTTAATATCCATGTACCGATTGAAGTTGGTATATCAAGGACTACAGAATAAGGAAATGATGTAAAGTCGGTCTCATTTTTACGGTTTTGGATTTTTTATTGGGATATTGTTATGTTCCAATCCCACCCACCCATCCCCCACCCCCTAAGCTGGAGTAAATCAGGGATTGAAAGAAAGCATATCTTTTATAATTAAAACTGATTTGCGTGTCATAGAAACTACATGCTGGATAAAACCAGAGTTTATTTAAATAAGGAGTAAGATCTACATTACAATAGATCACCATCAAGTTCTCTCCACCTTGACAAACATTACATAGAATCCCACATCAAATGATCTCCAAATGGATAATCAGCATGAAAGCACAAAGAAATTGACCAATGATAAATAATAAAAGTAAATGGAAAATAGAAAATAAATATTTTGGACTTTCACTTGACAAACAACCAAATCATGCATCAAGAAGAAAAGGAAGAATGATTGGAAAAGAATAATTTTACTGGTAAAGATCAACTAAAATTCAATTGTTAGAGATTTAATATTTCCTAATCAAATAAAATGGGAGGGAGGGAGGGAGAGGAAGAGGAAAGGAGTGAGAACTTGTTTGAAGGAAACTTACGTATAATGTACAATGTTATTTTCCAATTGAATGCAGGCTTATTCAGATGAGGAATCCTTACTGTTGGATCACCATAGGTTATCTGGAAATTGAAACAACAATGTAAGGCTTGAAAAGCATTAAACAAATGATAAAAATTGGAAACAAAAAATGGAAAGGATAAAAAATAGACATAGAGTTTCAACTTCAAAGCGCACCAACATATAAACTCCCCCAGGTTTAAGAAGCCTGCAAACAGCAGGAGTAAACAGTACTTATTGGTCATAAAATGCAATAAAAAAACATAGGGAAAAAATCTAAGCAGAGTGACCATTGGAATCCTATAACACATAAGTATTCACAAGTTCAGTCCTGGATGATAAAGTGTAAACCTGCTAACTTCTCCCAGCATTTGGGCAGCACTAATTTGAGCATTATTACTACACTACAACACAAAACCATAACTTAGAATATGCCCAACAACAAACTGGAGGGATCATAAACATTGGAAGAAAGAACCTTACCATCAAAGAATCAAGGGTTCCTAAACAGCAACAGCAGGGCAATATTTGGCAACAGCAACAAAGAAATATCAGCTTATAATACAACAGAAGTGCGATTTCAATGAGTTCAAAGGAAAGCAAACAATATGGCAGATGCACTAGCCAAGCAAGGGGTGGGAAGGGAACAGATGTTCTGGGTGCAATTGTAAGAACTTTGATTGGGGAGATGAAAGCTTTTTATCTCTCCTAATGTTGTGACTATTTGACTTAATAAAATGCTTGGTTATTGATCAAAAAAGACCACTAATACAAAATTAGAAATTTTGAAATTTAGACAAAGCATGGACACCAGGAAGACAGATTACAGTACCTTTATCAAGGACACTGTCAAATGATTCATCTGGAAAGAAGCTCATATCTCTGGCATCCATTTGCATGTCTATTGACAAAAATAAAGGATAGCAAAAAGGAGATTTGCAGTTTTTTTTTTTTTGGCATCAATAAGAAATTTGCAGTTTATGGAAACAATTGTAAGATACAGTTTTTCACAACATGATACTAGAGCAGAACACTTTTTCTTTTCTTTTCTGTAAGGATACATTTCAGCTGAGGTATATACTCGTATTTCCTTTTCATCATGTCAATGGCCACAGATGAAATATCAATATTCATTATGTCTTCATACCCATCCTTGACCATATCTTCTGACATAACTGCAAAATAGAGTCTTCCACACTAAAATATTGATACTAACATTCACAGAGAAGTTATAAATTAACCAAATTATACATTGGAAAGTTGGAATGTAAGAAAACTAGATGCTTCCACTTCATCAAATAGAGTTATATTATATGCAATGGAAACTGGGATATTCCATACACATAAAAGAAATGAAATTGAGAAGTTTGCAAATACAGATGGAAATTTAAAATGCTTTACTGACATCCTTGCTAATATAGAATTTATTGTTTTTATCTTAACACCCAAAGAACCCTCAATTTTTCATCAATAAATATAACTTTTGCATCTAAAATGTCTTTTTTTTATTCTTTGAAGACATCAAAGATTTCCAGATTGAATGATTCAGTAATGCCTAATCAATGTGTCACAAAAAAATATATCTAAACAGTTTTTTTTTGATAAATAAAATATCTAAACAGTTCATCCCGAAATAACAAATGAGAGTAATAATTAACTGTTACTTTCTTTGAAAAAGCAAAAATAAAGAGTACTAATCTATGTTACCCATATTTTTTTCATAATAAAAGAAAATTTATTAAAATAAAAAGAAAGAAGGATACAATTTGTGTTGATGAGTCATACCAACAAATCCAAGAGTGAATAGAATAGCACATCACCTTCTTTATAATATAAACTCAACCCACCATGCCCAAATACCAAGAAAAAAGAAATAAATAAATAAATAAATAAAAAGAAAAGTATCAGATATAGCATCCAGTACTGTGGTTTAACCCCCCCCCCCCCCCGCTCTTGAGAAAAAGCAAATTATATTGTATTGATAAACAAAAATGCTAACACCCATGTACAACAAGAGACTGTACATTGGGGAAGATACAAACAGAATTAGTAGACTGTGATTAATTACAAAATAGAAACCTCTTAGGAAGAAAGGAATCAAAAGAGCTCCCCCAAAAATAAGAACTAGAGGCCAGCCAAGATAGCAGCATTCTTTTTACTTGCCCAGCCACCACAATTTCCTCACTTGCATTGTTATCAAATATTCAACTATTCCCCTCACCTTAAATTGCCAAAAAGACAGTAGTAGGAAACAAAGTCCATATCACTTTTCCGGCTCTACTAAACCCATTAATTGTTTTTATCATTTTTCATCAATGGTTTGTCATCATTAAAAAGGGGAAGACTATTAACCCTATGTGTTTTGATGATAACAAACTCATTGAGAGTACTAATGGTGTGATTAAATATGCGGCTATCTTAAGAAAAATTCTCTGAGCCTCAATTGTATTAAAGCAAATTTGCTACCAAAGATGAAGAAGTAGAAATCATACTTGATCAACTGCATGAGCTTCATGTTCTTATCACCATCACTAAATCTCTCCACATGAGGATGCTCCAAGAAAATTCAAGAATGACAAGGCTACTACAAGAATTCAAAATATTTGGAGCTGCTCAAATGGTTATCTACTGCAACAACTCATTAAAGAGGATGACTACATCAAATTGTCTCCAAAGTGCCAGTCTTTTAGGATCTTGATGTAATCAGTTGCATAAGATGTATTTTCTATGATACTCAACAAGAACTAACTTGGTTTAGGCAACCTTAGAGACCAATGGCTAGAATAAGTTTGGTTCCTAAGCTTTCATGGACTTGGTGGAAAAGTTTGGATGACCTGTTTTGATATAAAACCTATAAAAGAAAGAAGAAAAGAAAGAGAAGGAAAGGTTTTTTGCTTAGAAAGAAAGAGAAGAGAGATAGAAGAGAACGGGAGAAGCCAAAATTGGGTCTGGCCACCCCTTTCATTAGATTATATACTCACAAATAAAAGAGAGTACAAAGACAAGAATACCCTTAGTAAGTTGGCTACTTGCAAAAATTGAATAAGCAATCTTAACTTAAAACATAAACTAATGGGCCTAAGTCCCAATAACTCCCTAACTATGCTATGTAAATAAAAACAAGTAATATCAGCCCAAAACTCAACACTCCCCTTCAAGTTGGGAATAAATGTCACACATTCCCAACTTGCGTAGATCATGCTCCAACTTGTTTCTTGCAACACCCTTTGTAAGAACATTAGCAAGCTACAAGTCAGATGCAACATATGGTAAGCAAACTTCTCAAGCGCACTGTAGTTTTCTCGCTTTCTTCGCTCCGTAGTTTGCTGCCTCCACGTCCTCAGGCAATGCACTATGGCTGTCATCTCCTTCTCTTGGACCGCGGCTCTCGGTCTCATTGAGCTTTCGGCTCTCATATGCAATAGGGTGACCTTGACAAAAGACAGCGCCGATGGCATAGTCTGACGCATCCGTGTGTACTTCAAATGGCTTAGTGTGATCTGAAAACTGCAATACGGGGCCATCAATCACTGCTTGCTTTAGGTCCTCAAAAGCTCTTTGACACTCTTCCGACCAGTGCAGTGCCATGATCGGTCCGTACGTCCTTTCCTTCTTTAGGAGATTCCGAATGTCACCCTTTCCCTTATAAAGTGTCTATTCACTTCTATATGCTTCGTTCTATCATGCTAAATTGGGTTGTGGACCATGTTAATTGCTGCTTGATTGTCACAATATAGCATCATAGGTTCTTCGGCCTCAACTCCAATCTCTCCTAACAAGGAACGGATCCAAAGGAGCTCTGAAACACCCTGTGTCATGGCTCTGTATTCAGCTTCTACACTTGACCTTGCCACAACTGTCTATTTCTTACTCTTCCATGAAACTAAATTACCTCCAACAAGAGTGCAAACACCTGATGTAGATCTCTTGTCATCTAGACACCCTACCCAATCAACATCTGTGTAAGCCTCTAACTTCAATTGTCCTTAATTAGCAAACAATATGCCTCTACCTAGGTGTCCCTTCAAATAAGAAAGTATCCTATCAATAGCCTCTCAATGCTGAACACGTGGGGCATGCATGTATTGACTCACCACACTCACTGCATAAGAGATGCCTAGTCGTGCCATACATAAGTATAGCAACCACCCCACTAACCTCTAATACCTTCCAACATCCTTCACTAGTTCACCTTCTAAAGCATTTATCCTATGGTTCTGATCAATAGGTGTATCAACTAACCTTGCCCCAAGTTTTCCCGTCTCTTGTAGTAGATCTAGAACATAATTCCTCTGTGAAATGAAGATTCTATGCTTGGACCTTGCCACCTCAATGCCCAAAAAGTACTTCAGCTCCCCAAGATCCCTAACCTCAAACTCTTTACACAGATTCTTCTTCAAGGTATCAATCTCGCTTAGATCATTTCCTGTGACTATAATGTTATCCACATACACTATCAAAACTAACACTAGTGACCCCCTCCTTTTCACAAAAAGAGTATAATCAGATTGAATTTTGAGTATAGCCAAATACAGCCAATGCACTTCTAAACCTATCAAACCAAGCTCTGGTGATTGCTTCAAACCATATAGAGACTTCTCCAACCTGCATACCTTTCCTTTTTCCACATCATTGTAGAAGCTAGCTGGAAGATCCATCCATATACACCTCCTCTTGCAAGTCCCCATTGAGAAAAGCATTCTTCACATTAAGTTAGAAGAGTGGCCAAGAGCATGTATCTGCTAGTGATAGAAGAATCCGGATTGAACTCATCTTTGCCACTGGTGCAAAAGTTTCCAAATAATCTATGCCATAAGTCTGAGTGTACCCTTTTGCAACCAGACTCGCCTTGGACCTTTCTAATACTCCCATCAGCCTTGTACTTCACTATATAAACCCATCTGCATCCTACTGCCTCTTTGCCATCAAGTAAATCCACAATCTCTCACGTTTGATTTTTAATCAATGCTTTCATTTCCTCCTGCATATTTGTCTTCCACTCAGGTTTGGAGAAAGCCTCACTAACACTCATGGGTATAGACACAAAGTCAAGGGAGTAAAGGAAGGCTCGGTAGGAAGGAGATAATCCATTGTAGGAAAGATAGTGTGAGATGTAATGAACGGTACACTTCCTCTTCTCTTTCCTGAGTGCAATAGAGATATTGAGGTCATCTGCAATGGTGTTAGGAGCAAGGGTAGTAGTATCAATAGGAACTAAACCATCAGAGGAAACAAGAAGCATACCTAGCTCTATGTCAGTCGAACCTAGAATCTCTGATGAGCCGATAGGAAGTGGCGTGGGTTCCTCTACTGTGGAATCAACCTCCCTGTGTTGTCGTAGGCGTTATCGTGTAAAACATTGAGAGACAGGGTGCAATGAAGGTGGCAAAGTGGATGAAATAGGTAGGTTAGACACTAGATTGGACAAAGAAGCTGGGGCAAGAAGTGGTATAGATTGCTCACTTCCTTCCCCAAAACACTCCCCATGAGAAGAAACCCCCGAGAAAAAAAGTGTGGACTTAAAAAAGGTGATATCCATAGTAAACTCTCGGAGACTGGATCATAACAATAATATCCCTTTTGATTTCCTACATACCCAAAGACACACTTCTTCACCTTAGGATCCAACTTAAAGCGGTGAGGACCAAGCCCATAGGCTGTACTTATTTCTTTATGTTTCTATCTTTTTGTTAATGGGCCTTTACTAATGGGCTCTTATGTTTCTTGTTTAATTAAGTTAATCGCCCAATTAAGGGCCTACTTGTAAATATAGAAAAATTGTAATTATTTTTTAATGAAAATATTAGAGAAGGGAGAGATGTTAGAACAACTCTTCTCCTAAACCCTATTACAGCCGACTTCTTCTTCTCTCTTTACTGCTGATAGCTACCTCACTTCCACACTTTTTAAATCAGTCCTCTCATTCTTTTGGATTGTTTTTCTTCTTGCTTTTAGAGCGGGTCCCTTTCTTCTTCCTTTTTTTCCTTTTTTTCTCATACACAATGTGTATGGTGGCGTAGTACGGAAACGAAACACATTCAAAAAAGCTTCAAAGAAAAGAGCAAAAGTCGAACTACTAGGAAGAAGAATTTTTCACTGAATAATTAAGAGAAAATTCAATATCAAAAATTGTCTTAGCCTTCCCCTAGTTACTCTTTATATAGGCCTACACCCT